AAGGGAGAGTAGATGTTTCTTGGGCAACTGAAGTAACACTTCTGAAACTCTGCTATAAGTTTTTTGTACATTTTTTTTGTGCATTGCCATATCTTTGTTCCTAACAGTTCAAAGAGATATCTAAGTATATCAGTGTAACAGCTGAGAAACCTAATTGCCTTGCATGAATGCTAATAGATATTTACCACTAAGGAGAAGGTCGACTCAAGCGAGTTTTTAACTCTTCTCAGGAAGATCATATTTTACCAAAGATTGCGATCTCTACCAAGGTCATACCTTTCCAATAGGTTATGATTATTACAAACAGTTTGAATGTCAATTAATCTCCAAAAATATCATGTTTTCACAAGCCTGTGGAGATTCCTAGTTTTTCCAAAAGGTTCCGAATAGCCATTTTCCAAAATATTTAGAGCTACATGAAAGCCGATGATGAGAAAAAGAAGCCTTTAAACCCTGAAGTCCAACACACACATAGAAAATGAGACTTGGAGCAGTAACAGACTTCATGCTCACTATGTTTCAAAACTATGAAGTCAAACAACTTCTGTATTTTCTGTGATCAGCTGAAGCATAGGTCTGGAGACTTCATTTTGAATTTGATCCTGAAAGCCTAAAGGTTAAAACCATGCTGAGCTATGAACTGTTAAATTGGAACAGTATTAACCTATTGTACATCATGTTCAGTATGGATTATCACAGTTCCAAAAAAGACTCTACACATTTGATACATTATAATTGCCACAATATGGATGATTTTAGTCATTCCACTGACACTTGCAGTGCATTTCTCACTTTCTGTAAATCCCAAAACTTTCATCTAAAATATAAAGCTAATCTAATCTGGTATATGGAGCCCCTGGTGGTGCAGCAAGTTAAATCGCTGAGCTGCTGAACTTGCTGACCAAAAGGTCAGTGGTTCAAATCTATGGAATGGGATGAGCTCCCATTGATAGCCCCAGCTTCTGCCAACCTAGCAGTTCAAAAACATGCAAATGTGAGTAGATGAATAGGTACCACTTGGTGGGAAGGTAATGGCGCTTCATGCAGTCATGCCGGCCACATGAACTAGGAGGCATCTATGGATAACGCTGGCTCTTCAGTTTAGAAATGGAGATGAGCAGTCGCTTAATGTCAAAGGGAAACCTTTACCTTTACTAATATGGTATATAGCTGATATAACTAGCTATATACCATATATAACTAGCAAATCGTTAGTTTTAATATTCTCTATGCTACAAAATATAAAAATATTTGCAAGTGTTTCAGTGAACATTGTTTTTACACCAGAACATAGTTTTCTAAAATGCACCTGTAAATATGTTTGATATGACATAATACACAGATATGTAGGTGTATTCAACTGAGTCTTTTAAAATTTATTATCACTTTTCCATATATCTGTTCTTTTTTATTATTTCATATTTCTATTCGGAGTCAATGAGAATTTATTTTGCCATTTTTTCCAGCATTCTAATGCTGAAGATCGTATCATGGTAACAACAAATTTCTTGTCAAAAATGCTAGCGATTTTCAATGAAATCAGCACTCTTTGGGATTATTTTCCTCAACTGCTGGTTCTCTCTCTCTCTTTCTCTCCTTTCTCAACCAAGATGTTCAAGACTGGCCAATTGGAGGCTGAGTGATTTTCAGGTGACTTACAAGGAAAGATGAGACCTGCACACAGCAATCAACAGGAACAACTTGAACTCGATCCATTCATTCACATTGCAACTTGTGCTTGACTTTGCAAATGAGAACCTTCTGGCACAAAGATTCACATTCCCCTTTCTTCTCAAGTTAGTTAACTGCTTACCATAATATTATGAAACGAGTACTTTTCATTGCTTAAATTCTTATCTAACAAAGGATATAAAGCAATAAATACAGATTTTGATTTCATTATAATTAAACCACTACCTTCTTTAAGCCTCAAATAAGAATAAACCTTTCAAGTTAAGTTTATTTTCTGTCTGTTACACATAAAAATACTGTTGGTTAGAAAGACTAATAAACGTCATTAGAATCTCAAGTCCACACAACCTTCTTCCATAATAAGCCTCTATGTCTACACTCGGTTTCCAGAGAATAAGTCCCAATGAGCTATTTTTCAAAAAATAGGAGGATAAAACCCATTAATGGACAACATGAGACTCTTTGCACACCTGTGCCTTCAAGTGTCCTGTTGATTTATGGTGATCGCATGAATTTCATAGGGTTTTCTTAGGCAAGCAATACTCTGAGGTGGTTTTGTCAGTTCCTTTATCTCAAATACAACCAACAACACTTAGTACTCCTTAGTGGTCTTCTATCCAACTAATAATCAAGGCTCACATTGTTTAACAGGAGCCTCCAATGAGGAAATGGGTTAAACCCTTGTGCTGGGACAACTGGTCGACTGATAAGTTAGAAGTTCAAATCTGGGGAGTGGGGTAAGCTCCCGTCTGTTTAGCTCTAACGTCTCATGTGGGGACATGAGAGAAGCCTCCCACAAGGATGGTAAAAGATCAATCATCCGGGTGTCCCCTAGGCAACATCCTTGCAGACATCTAATTCTCTCACACCAGAAGCGACTTGCAGTTTCTAAAGTCACTTCCAACACACACACACACAAACCCTGCTTTAAAAAAACCCTATGGGGTTGGACTGGATGGCCCATGAGGTCTCTTCCAGTTCTATGATTATATGTTCCATAAGGTCAGTGTTTCTCAATCTGGGGGTCAGGACCCCTGGGAGGGGCACAAGTGGGGTTGCAGACAGATTACACATATTTCTGATGGTCTTAGGAACCCCTTTGGCAGAGAAGGCTGAAGACCTCTCCACCTGTCCTTCTCTTCCTTTTTGGTGTTGGTTAACTACAACTCCCAGAATTCAAAAACAGCCCCGTCCCAACCCCCACCAGTATTTAATGTTGGCAATATACAGGAATGGAAATTTGGATGACGGATTGGATCATGACTCTAGTTATGAGATGCATTGTTGTGTCAATATTGTATATTATGCTTTTATGGTTTTAAATTGTATATCGTTGATTGATTCTTATCCTTGTTGTAAACCGCGTTGAGTCGCCTGTTGGGCTGAGAAACTGCGGTATACAAGTAAAGTAAAGTAAAGTAAATAAATAAATAAATAAATAAATATAGGTAGTCTGCCAAGTGTGGTCCATATTTATTGTGGGCTGGGTTCAGAGCGCTCTTTGATTGTAGGTTAACTGTAAATCCCAGCAAATACAATTCCCAAATGTCAAGGTCTATTTTGCCCAAACTCCACCAGTGTTCACATCTGGGCATATTGAGCATTCATGCCAAGTTTGGTCCAGATCCATCTTTGTTTGAGCCCACAGTGCTTTCTGAATGTAGGTGAACTACAACTTAAAAACTCAACATCAAGCCCACCAAACCCTTCCAGCATTTTCTGTTGGTCATGGGGATTGTATGTGCCAATTTGCATTCAATTCCATTGTTGGTGGAGGCAGAAAGCTATTTGATTGTAGGTGAACTATAAATCCCAGTCACTACATCTCCCAAAGGACAAAATCAATCCCCTCCCCAACCCTACCAGTATTCAAATCTGAGAGTATTGGGCATTTGTGCCAAATTTGGTCCAGTAAATAAAAATAAATGCTGCATATCTACATTGCAATTCATAACAGTAGCAAAATTGCTGTTATGAAGTAGCAATGAAACTAATTTTATGATTGGAGGTCACCACAACATGAGGAACTGTATTAAGGGGTTGCAGCATTAGGGAGGTTGAAAAACACTGAATTACAGGAAAGGAGATTCCACCTGAACACAAGGAAGAACTTCCTGACTGTGAGAGTTGTTCAGCAGTGGAACTCTCTGCCCCAGAGTGTGGTGGAGGCTCCTTCTTTGGAGGCTTTTAAACAAAGGCTGGATGGCCATCTGCCAGGGGTGCTTTGAATGTGATTTTCCTGTTTCTTGGCAGGGGGTTGGACACGAGGTTTCTTCCAACTCAATCATCCTATGTTCCAATAGGCCCAAAAATTAAAAATAGTAGCACTTTCTTTAGCCATGGTGTTTGACTTTCAAGGGAGGCTTGTGCCCTTAAACCCAGCACATCTCTTTGGCATTGAGATGGGGGGCAAGCATACAGCCCTCCATTTCAATACAGCTTAATGGTGTAGCATTAGAAAATGTTGACCATTTCCTCTACATTGGCAGCCACCTCTTCACAATAGTCAACATTGACAATGAAATACAAAACTGCCTGAGCTCTGCGAGTGCAGCATTTTTCCAAATGGAGTAGAGAGTGTTTGATAACGGGGACATCCGCTGAGATACCAAGGTTCTTGTATATAAAGCTATTGTCCTCCCAATCCTGCAATACGCCTGTGAGACGTGGACTGTCTACAGACATCACATACAACTCCTTGAATGATTCCATCAGCGTTGCCTCCGAAAAATCCTGCAAATCTCGTGGGAAGACAAGCGGACAAATGTCAGCATGCTGGAAGGAGCAAAGACCACCAGCACTGAAGCTATGGTCCTCCTGCCATCAACTCTGCTGGACCGGCCACGTTGTCTGAATGCCCGATCATCATCTCCCAAAGCAGTTGCTCTACTCTGAACTCAAGAATAGAAAATGGAATGTTGAAAGGCAGGAAAAGAGATTTAAAGATGGACTCAAAGCCAACCTTAAAAACTGTGGCATAGACAGGGAGAACTGGGAAGCCCTGGCTCTTGAGTGCTCCAGCTGGAAGTCAGCTGTGACCAGCAGTGCTGTAGAATTTGAAAAGGCACGAAAGGAGGGTGAAAGAGAGAAACGTGCTAAGAGGAAGGTGCATCAAGCCAACCTTGACCGGGACCGCCTTCCACATGGAAACCGATACCCTCACTGTGGGAGAAGATGCAGATCAAGAATAGGGCTCCACAATCACCTACGTACACACTGTCAGGACTCCACACTCGGAGAAGGAGGGATTGCCTAAGTAAAGTAAAGTAAGGAGGGCATGGCGATGAAGACCAGGTATCCCGCCTTACCTGCCGGTGATGAACTGGCTCCTGGAGGGCGTGCACATGGGCTGGACGTAGTAGTTCTCCAGCTTCACTCCCTCCGCCGCCAAGCGGTCCAAGGTGGGCGTCCGGATCTCGGAGCCATGGTAGCCCACGTCCCGGAAGCCCTGGTCGTCGGCCAGGATGAAGACGAGGTGCGGCGGGGAGGAGAGGGCAGGCGGCGGCGGGGTTTCGCCTCCAGCCTCGCCCGCTCTCCCGTCCGCGCCGTCCCAAGCGAGGAGGCTGAGCGCGGAGAAGCCGGCCAGCCAAGCCCCGGCTCGCATCTTCCACTGCACGCCGCCCAGAAGCTCCTCTCGGGAAGCGGTCAGAGCGCGTCAGGAAGCCGGGGCCCCTCTCCCGTCCGGGGGCGCGCCCATGACCGCCTCCCGGGGCGCTTCAGGAGCCCCGAAAGCATCCCCTGGAGCCCGGGAGGCAGCCACCAAGTCCCTTCTCCATCCTCTTCGGCCCCGACAAGGAGCGGAGGCGCTCCGCCGACGCCCTCCTCCCCGTTGGAGGCAGGAGGGCAGAGAGAGCCCCCGCCCGGCTCGCCAAGCGGCTCCCGGGGCGCCTCCGTGGCGGGACCCGTCCCAAGAAGTCCCCGTCGCTTCTGGAGGCGGGAGGGAGAGAGTCAGGAGGAGGAGGAGGAGGAGGAGGAGGACGCCGTCATGCTTGCCTGCCTGCCTGCCTGCCTGCCTGCCTTCCTTCCTTCCTTCGCTGCCTTCGCTGAGTCCCTCCCGCCTCCCGTGCTGCTGCTCCCACCCATCCCTTCCGCGAGCGAAGCCAAACAAAACGCTTCCCGCTTGGAAGGGACGGGCGGGAAGGAAGGAAGATAGGAAGAAGGAAAGGAGGAGGGGGGAAGGAAGGAGAAGGGAAGGAAGGAGGGGAGGAAGGAGGGCGGGAGGAAGGTAGAAAAGAAGGAAGGAAGGAAGGAAAATGGGAGGAAGGAAAGAGGGAAGAAGGAGAGAAGGAAGGAAGGAGGGATGAGAGGAGGGAGTTTAGGAAGGAAGGAGAAATGGGAGGAAGGAAAGAGGGAGGAAGGAGGGAGGGAGGAAGGAGGAAGAAAGGAAGGAGGGAGGAAGGAAAGAGGGATGAGAGGAAGGAAAGAGGGAGGAAGGAAGAAAGGAGGGAGGAGAGAAGGAAGGAAGGAAGGAAGGAAGGAGAAGGGAAGGGGGAAGGAAAGAGGAAGAATGGATGGGAGGAAAAAGAAGGAAGGAAGGAAGGAAGGAAGGAGAAAAGAAAGAAGGAAGGGAGGAGGAGGGAGGCAAGGACCTTAATAAATATGTTGAACATAACTGGGCCCAGGACAGGACCCTGTGGCACTCCACTCCTCACTTCTTTCCAGGAGGAAGAGGAAGCATTAAAGCACATGACATTCAGCTATTATAAATGTATTGATTTTCAAGTGGATTGGAAGGAAGGAAACAGTGTTTCTCCTTCCTTTTAAACCTTTTCATAGTTTTGCTCAATTAAACTTTGATACCGCACTTACCAGTATCTCTGCATGTGGGAATTCTAGTCCAAAAGCAGACTGGATTTTTTTTCAGCAGTGTATGCTAAGGACACCTGGTGATTTCTCCATTCGTGAGGTACTAAATCTGCTCTGGATTTTAATATGAACTTTAAAGGAGCCACCCTCTCCCTGCCTCAGACACTACTTTACAGTTCTGGATGAATCCCAGAGTAGGCTACCAGATTAGAGAGTCACTGTTAGAGTTGGCCTATGCCAATAATAGACATGAGCAAATGTTAGAGAAGACAAAATTTGTGTACATATTTATAACTTTATAAATGTTATTTATAATAGTATCCACCAACAAAAGATTTCTCTGGGGAGTCCATAAATAAACCATTATGAAATATAAAAAGAAAACGCAAACATACATCTAAAACAGTCAAATATAGCAACAGGAACAAGAAGTATGAAGTTAAAAGTCACTACGATAAAAATGTTTTTTCTTGATCCTGAAAACAACAATAGAAACCAAAAGCTTCTCTAAAGAAACAACTTCACTAACATGGTGCCACCACAAAGAAGACATTATTAGCAGTTCTCTGCTGGGCGAGTAGGCTTATTAACAAAAGACCCTCCTCATAAATGCAAAGCAGAGTAATTTAGCAGTAGCATGACCTAGTACCAAAGTGATAAAAAGAACAAAAACACACAGGCCAGTGTTATCTCTTCCACTGGAGGCTTTTCCCTGTGGTAAAATAATATGGTTATACTATTTACAACCGTGGTTCTCAACTTGTGGGTCCCCAGATGTTTTGGCCTTCAACTCCCAGAAATCCTAACAGCTGATAAACTGGATGGGATTTCAGGGAGTTGTAGGCTAAAACACCTGGGGACCCACAGGTTGAGAACCACTGATTTACAAGAACAAGGTTTCTATAACACAAATGCATATACAGCATCCTTCACACTGGAGCTTTCTCACATGAGGCTTCTCTCATACTGAGGTTTACCTCACATTCCTCAAGACGATACTAGCTTTGGCTCACTAACTCTAACAGGCTTTGGCCTATTCACTCTCCTCAGTGCTTGACTCACATTTTTGTAATTAAAAATACCTACCATAGTTAATTTTTAATATTTCTGACATTCTCTACAGATGATCTTAGGATCTAGTCAGCTAGATGAAGGCATTCTTCTTGAGGTAACTTTCTCCTAAGCCATTTAGGGCTATAAAAATTTATATTTTGAATTGCTTTGTGAAATGGAGCCAATGCAAATGACAAACCACTTGCATAACATGGTTTTATGAATGGATCTTTTTGAGACTAGCCGAAGTTTCTGAGCCATTTTTCTGAAACAATCCCACGAATAATGCACTACATTCAATGAATACCTAAATATAATTATGTAGCACAGGCCATTTCTGTCCAGATGGGGTTGCAGTTAATATAAAAGTAGTTCCAGGCTACCTGACCTGAAGAGGACTCCACAACTACATACCGATCCCGTTTTATGAGGATTGCTATCTCCTTCTGACACTACTTGAACACTATGCTACTGATTAGCCTAGTGTTCTGATTAGGCACTGAAAATAATAGGTTTGGGAATAATAACAGTGGAATGCCAATCTTAAAAACCAAGATGCAGAGCAATAATCCCTTAGCACTACCTTCTGCAAAAGTGTAACTAATGCAGTACAATTAGGCCAATTCCGGATTCAAGAGAGCCTATTTAAAAGCATATGGGAGAAGAAAACTTGGCAGGTATAGCTTGCTGGGGGAGAAAGAAGCTGCATCTTTCATCCGCTTGGGATCTCAGTAGGAGTGGCCACACTGTCAAGAGAATGTCAGAAACGGAATGTGAAATGGAATAAATGCTTGCAGTTCATCACATAAACTAGAGTTGATGGGACCACAAAACAGCGGGCCACTATAAGAACATTGAAAACTGTTCAAAGAAAAGGAACTCATCTGTGTCATTGTTAAGTATAATGAGGAATGCTGGAGGTGGTAGTGAGAGCAATGAAAGAAAGAAGGGAAAAAATCTTGTAATGATATTAAACTTTCTCACCAACAAACAAAAAAGTATATTTGAATATAAATAGTAAAAAAATAAATGTATGTATGTTACAAAACATAGCTTTTAGCATTCCAGTTCTGCTCATTAGGCTTGGTTGATTAAAAAAATGGTTCAAAACTCGTTTTGGATGTAGGGGGCACTGGTGGTTCAATTCTAAAGTCAATTCCGATTTTCATAGAAAAAAAATGTTCAAAACTTTTCAAAACTTCGGAGACTTCCGAATCCTTTCATTAATGGTTTGAAAGAGATATTTCCTGTTTCATTGGGTGGTCTTTACTTTGAAAGTAGTTGTTTTACTCCAGAAGCCAGGAAAAGCAAGCGGAGGAAAATCCTTCCTTCTCTGGTTTAAAACTGGCTTCTCTGGTTTGAGCCGAGGCCAGGAAATTCCTTTCTTTTCTGGTTTAAAACTGACTTCTCTGGCTTGAGCAAAGGCCAGGGACGTGCAGTGGGGAAAAGCAAGCGGAGGAAGTTCCTTCCTCCTAGAGTTTAAAACTGGCTTATCTGGCTTTAAAACTGGCTTCTCTGTTTTGAGCCGAGGCTAGGGAACAGAAGTGGGGAAAGCTGAATCATTTCTGACTAACTTCATGAGTCATAACCAAAATTGCTTCAAAAATGTAATTTTTCTGACTTTATTCTGAATTATAAATATCCCGACAGTGCTCATCATTAACACCACTTGTTGCTTTGCCATTGTTGCTAAAGATGGAAAAAAATTGGATAGGAATCAAAACAATGTGTAGGATTTTCTGTTTAAGACTTGAAAAGAGATCTTCTTGGGATACATCTGATTTTAGTTCCAACAGAGTAGAATCTCCTTCTTTGGAGGCTTTTAAACAGAGGCTGGATGGCCATCTCTCAGGCGTGCTTTGGATCCTATTTTCCTGCTTCTTGGCAGGGGGTTGGACTGCATGGCCCACAAGGTCTCTTCCAACTCAATGATTCTATCATTCTATGAGACCAATATTCAGATCCCCATTCAGCAATTAAAAACCACTGGATGACCTTGGGCACATCATACTCTTAGCTTCAGAGGAAAGCAATGGTAAACCTTTTCTGAACAAACCTTGCCAAGAACATTCCATGATAGGTCTACCTTAGGATCACCATAAATAGGAAATAATGTGAAAGAACACAACAAAAATCTACTGAAGTGATGGAGATTAGGTAAATAATGCACAGTAAGTTCTGTACATGTTAGTGGGTCTACTTAGTAAAGTGGATGACAGTAGGAAAAGAGGAAGAACATATTGCAAATGGATTGATTCAATAAAAGAAGCCATGGTCCTGAGTTTATAAGGCTTGGCCAGAGTTGTTGATGACCAGGGCTCATGGAGATTTTTAATTTATGGGTTTACTATAACTTGAAGACCACATGATGGTAATTATCAACAAAGGATAATCTCCTTTCTCAGAAACTCCTTTAAGGGTTCTAGCCTAATTCTTCATATTACTTCTCTCCAAAGGGATTGGATTTTGTTTCTTTTATAACTTTCTATAGGCCTTTTATACAACCATATAACCCAGAATATCAAGGCAGAATAACACATAATATCTGCTTTGAACTGGAATATCTGGGTCCACATTGTCATATCTCAAGTTCAAAGTAGATAATGTGGGATTTTATTTAGCAGTGTGGAAGTGGGCTATGTTGAACACACAGGAACAATATGTACATTGCTTGTCCACTTATGGGCTTGCTTCTGTCTGGTAGTGATGGAATATGGGTAGGGACCATTGATGCAAAAAGACTAGCAGATCTCCCTGAAGTCAATGATGCTTAGAAACAATGGCTCGTTGAAGTGCCAGGACCTTCCTTCAGCAAGTGTGTGTGTGTGTGTGTGGGGGTGGGGGGTGGGGGGGGGGGTCAGGAATTCTGGCAATTTCAGAAAAATATTTTTTTTTCCATCTGGATGCTACAAGTGACTGGACGTTTTATTTCTTAAGATGAAGAGAAAATGGTGATACAGTTGCAAATGTCTAATGTACTGCTTCTTTTTCTTTTGCACAGCTCTGCATGTGTTGAATCATGCTGACATTGTCAACAGCTGAATCACTATTATTATTTTTTGCTTTATAAGAATCATGCACATAATTTCTAGCTCAACTCTTTCAGCACTCATTGCAAATTTTATTCCCATTATTTTATTTCATTTCTATTATTTATGAGCCAGTTAGAGCATTAAGATTGGCTGGGGAGGTTCTCGTCTTGGTCGCACCACAGGCACGATTGGTGGGGATGAGAAACAGGGCCTTCTCAGTGACGGCCCCTTGCCTGTGGAACTTTCTCTCCAGCGAGATTAGATTGACCC